TGGTTGCTGCACAAAGCTAGGCGGTCTAGAGATGAGGTTGGAATAAACACACTGATCCTCATTGCGCCTCTCTTTCCATGATGGCGGGGTTAATAAGTTAATAAGAATCCGCTCATACCTAAGGATACATCTGCCGGTTCCCTTCCAGCAGCGATGATCACCAGCCACATGGGTAATATATGATTTATGCAGGGTTTGATACAACACCAATACCTATCGCGTCGTCAGATTGCTGCGATCGGATTCGGGGAAGGCGGAGAACCTAGTCACCGTGATATAAAGTACGGAGATAACGACGAATCGTCTTCAGACAGTCCATCGCAAGGCTAGAAACTTCATAGCTATCCTTGACAGATAGGTATCTATTAAGCAAGCAGTCTAGAGCATCATAGACTACGAATGACGCAAGACCTTTTGGCAAAAGAGCCATTCAGAAATAGTAGAAGTAGAGTCTCAAGGTTTGGGATACCTACTTTGGCAATTAGCTTGCCATCCCCAAAGCCATGGCGGCTGAATTGTGTAGAGTGATCTGCGGGCAGTTCAATTACAACCCATGCATGGGTAAAATGGCGTATGAAGTTGTTCCATGCCAGCTTATTGGCTAGAGATTTTAAGGGGCAATATAGTCGCGTCTATGCTCTTGGCAGACGTGCTTGAAGGCGTCTATCAGGACATACTGATTCACTTCTGCATATGGCAAGACTTGTAAACTAAAACGGCCGGATTTCAAAGACTAGAACAGAAAACTACCTATTTAAAAGTATTGAGCTGTGGGAAGTTGAATCATTAACTCTTCAAACTAATGGAGTAGACTGGCTAATAATGAACATCTTGTCTAAACCGACTTCATACAAGGTACTTTCCTATAGGTATGAACGTTTGAAAGATTTATAGTTTTCCCTTGATGCTAGCATATACGCAGTATAGGTAATGAGTCGTTATTGATGTTATAAGCCAGGTACCCAGGGTAAGGTTTGCCTCTGAATTACCGTAAAATTCAATTATTTTACTTCGACTAGCGAACAACTGGTAAACCAACATAACAGTAGGACGGTAGGACCTGATCAAAGCTCAGAACGCGGCGCGAACTTTTGTATGACTGTTTCGAACCCCTCGGGTATAAAATCGTTAACAAGGCAACAACTGTTTTCATACGCAGGAACGATAGACACCTTAGGCGAATATTAGGTATCATCCGATTGTTTAAAACCCAGCAACGACCCAGTTCTTAAGCATCTCAAGACTTTCCTTTCTTCCTTCTTCCTGGCAACTTGTTTTCCTTCACCACGCTCCTTTCTGTGTCCTCTGCATCCCGTACGCAACATTCAACAATTACGTCTGGGAAACACCAGCTCCTGGACTTGTTGTCGGCGATAGCGCCTAGGACTTCCCGTCCCCTCTTTCTTACACCTACCAAGATCTCTTGGTAGTGCGCTTAACCTTTCCCTTCTTTACACCTCTCAACTGGTCCTTGCATTTCGACACCAACCATATCAGCAACCATGGCGTCTAAAGCAACGTCTCTGAGTTCTTGGGCGTCTGCATCTTTGGCTGAGAGCTACACGTCGCGATGCCCGAAGTGCAATGCCACCTTCATCAGCGACCAGGCTCTTCAGCGCCACCAGACCCTCAAGGCTCATCACCTTTGCGATACTTGCAACTTGGGCTTCCATTCTCGGGAAACTTTACTTGAGCACCAAAATCACGTAAGTCTTCTCTCTCTCTCTCTCTCCAAAAATCCCCTTCTGCGATAGTATAACTCATTAGGAACTGGAACAGGATCATCGAGCCGACCAGAACCTGATCTGTCCCGGCTGCCAAAAGAAGTTCAATACTGCTGGTGGTTGGGTGGCGCACGTCGAGGATGGTCAGTGTGTTTTGTTCTCCTCGTCGCAACTTGCAGAAGGAGTCGCGGAGATCATGGAGGACATCATGACCAGTCTTCGTGCAGCGACAGTCCAGCAGAACACCGCATTCGAACCTACCGCACTTACCCACATCACAGACATCTGGGGTGAGGATTGGAAGGCCCAGATAAGCCTGGATGCGCAAGAGAATCCTGATGCATTCCCCGAACTCGTAAATAATGGATCTACTCCGGGTGGCTCAACCCAAGCCTCTTCGCCAATTCCCCCTGTCCGTGCAACCAAAGAACGAGTTATCAATCCCGACGATGACAGCTTCAACGCAACTGTCTTCCTAGACCCCATCTTAGAGTTGTTCAAGTGCCCTCACAAGAACTGCAAGTGAGTGCCTTTCAACCTAGCAAACAAGACAAGCCATAGAGTGGTTCTAACATCCTATCAGGTCTAAGCTCAAGACTGCCGGAGGACTCGTGAGCCACCTGAAGTCTGCCGCTCACAAGGCCAAGCCGTTCCTATGCCCGAATTGCCGACGCACGTTCACATCGGCCACGGCCTGGATCTCGCATGCAGAGCTGGTTCCTTCCTCCAGGTGCGGGATTCGCGAGACCGAGATCTACGGCTACGCGGTGAATGTGCTTACCAACGGAGCCCTATTAGTCGACAGCGAGAACAAGCTCCCCAACGGCACGCCGCGCGTCTGGATGAACGAGAACTGGGCTGACAGAGACGAATGGGTCAAGGCCAAGCCTCAGGCGCTGCGAGCTATGCCGGGCGCTGCGAAGACGGTGCCTGACGAAGAACTTTGGTAGGCGTTGCATCTATTGTGATAGGCTATCTGTCACAACTACATGGTTATCGTGGAGGTGATAGGATAAGAGTTGTCATATCAACTCTAAAAAGCTGCCTCTCCTCTCTTTTCATTTTTTCTTCCGATCTGAGGAAGAATTAGTCTCGTTAGTCACGGTCAAGATTCGATCTCAGGTGGTACGACGGTGATATTTGTGCAAGGTGTTCAGAGATTTGCACGTATACTTGATTCTGCGATTAACTTCCTTTCCATAGTGGAAAAAAATACAGTCTTCTTAAAAATGATGTAGTTCTCGTCATACTAAAAAGGAGAGAAATAAATTGATGGTACAACAATGAACCAAATAATGTGACTCACGTGACGAAATCTCCCCGCGTGAATTTGTTATCGTTATCAGCATCTCCTTGTGTCAGATCTGATTACGTCAACTTATGAATCCTATCCCATCCCGAAACCCATGTTTGAACAAGCTGGCCTCGCTTGGAACTGTAACAAAAACATAACACAGTCGGGGCAGGAACCGACCAACGTTCTTTTTGTCCAAGTCAAATAAATACTTTAAGATTGTTTAATTGCAATGACCTACAGGTAACGAAACACGACCTTCCATAGTAAACGAAACACCATCGCGAATTACCACCTATTACCTATTAACCTCCATTGGTTTGCTGCTTGCCGACCTTATCGACCATCCCATCCCACATAGCCATCATGGCAACCTCCAAGTTCAATTCCAAGTCCCCTACCATTCGACGAATACGTAAGTCTCGCCTCCGAGTTCCCATCCCCGTTCTCAAGTCTCAAATACAATATCCCTCCCTTCCTATCCTATCTCCCCATCTACCTGCCTACCTACCTACCTACCTACCTACCTACCTACCTACCTACCTACCTACCTACCTACCTAGCTAACCACCAATATCATTCCACAACAAACAGTAAAAGAAGCCGCCGAGCTCTCCACCTCCCCGTCGCCCGACTACACGGCCGCGCCCCTGGAGACGGACCTCTTCGAGTGGCACTTCACGCTGCGCGGGCCGCCGAGGTCGTGCTTCGCCGAGGGCCTGTACCACGGGCGGATCGTGCTGCCGGCGACGTACCCGCTGCGGCCGCCGTCCTTCCGCTTCGCGACGCCGAGCGGCCGCTTCGAGGCCAACCGCGAGATCTGCCTGAGCATCTCGGGCCACCACGAGGAGACCTGGCAGCCCGCGTGGGGCGTGCGGACCGCGCTCGTCGCGCTGCGCAGCTTCATGGAGACGGACGCGCGCGGCCAGCTCGGAGGTCTGGACACCTCGGACGCGGTGCGTCGCAAGCTCGCGGCCGAGAGCGGCGGTTGGAGGTGCGCCGTCTGCGCCAAGTCGAATCGCGAGATCATGGACGAGTGCGAGGTGCGGTGCAGGGAGTTTGAGGCTGAGAACGGTGCTGGGGAGGGTGGTGCGAAGAGAGAGGAGGTTCGGGTCCCTGAGGAGTTGAAGATGGGGTTTCGGGATGAGATGGAGAAGGCGGCCAAGGGAAGCGGCAGTGCGGACGAGGGCGCGAAGGAGGATCTGGAAAGTGCGGAGCTGGCTGAGGGGTTTGTGCAGACTGCGCCCGAGAGGGAAGTCGCGGTGCCGCATTCTGCTGCTGCTGCTGCTGCTGCTGCGAGACCCGCGCAGGGCGTGCCTGCTCCGACGGGACGCACGCCGTTGCCTGATCCGGTCGGTGCGGCTCCGACGACAACGGCGCGCAGACCTGCTGATCCGAATGCGGGCGTGCCGGCTTGGGTGGATTATGCGATCGTGTCGCTGGTGGTTGTGCTGATTGCCATGTTGATGAAGCTTCTAGTTGCCCGCTAAACAAAACGTGCGGTGATTTATCGCTGGCTCCAGGCAAGGATGCGATGCGATGCGAATGCAAGGGAAGGGAGAAAGGCGTTGGTAATCATCGGCGTTACATTATGATACAGGTTCACGGGCATGCATGCGTTTAGGTAGACACTCAAGCCTACCTACCTCCTAAGTGCTTTAGTTTTATATTGCTAGGGTATAGATACCAAATGAATTATAAAATCATTATTTAGAATTGTAGATATGATTTCATTATGTGCATGCACGTTGGCGCTCTGATTGATGTACTCCTACTTTTGCAGTAGTTAGTTGGAGGCGACTTATCATGAATAGTGTCATTTTCTCCGAAGAAAATAACAAAATAATAAAATCTGTAGTGCTGCTAGATTGATTGGATGGGGGTGCGTGCAATTTCTACCGAAAATAAAAATCATGCCCCAAAACCCAGCAAAAATTCAAACAAAATCCAAAAAATTAGGGCAGATGCCATTTGGATATTTATGGCGGTACTGGGAATCGAACCCAGGTCTACACGGTACAGTTGTGAAGAATATGAAAGCGACACTCTCGAAAGAGGCACGAAAGCACAATCCTGTGAAGATACACAATCCACAACGTGTTGTACTATCCACTATACTATACCACCCCTATTTGTTGAACTTTTGGTGCTATTAAGGCATATATACCAAGCACACGCATACACACACACACACACTGTAACTTTAGACTAGTGCTTCTGTTCTTCGTGATGATTCGCTGGTTTTGGTCTTGTCTTGCTTGCTTAGTGCCGGAGTTGGGATGGAGAAACCTGTATGGATGGACGGTATGGAGTACATACAGTATGCAACTTTAGCGGGATGGTAGGTACTGTTGACTAAATATCGGTCTAAGCAAGTCAGCGTCATTCTGGAAGACGAATAAATATAGATTCTTAACTGTATATCATGAAGATATAGTAGAGTAATATTGTATGTAATTTAGCAGTTTACCAGATCCCAAAGTACTTCACTTCGGAGTTCGTTCGGTTTTCAGAATGTATTATTATCATTACGAAATCCATCCGCATCGCAATGCTGCACTAAAAACATCGAAAACAAAAACAAATATCAACTCTGCTCTGCTCAGTGGCAGGCAGTCAATGTGTACAGGATATCTTTTTTCCCCTTCCGAACGCCTTCTTATGCTGTGTGTGTGTGATGTGGTATCCCGTGCCATCGCCATGCATTTCTAATGATACAAGTAGTACAAATTACATCCCCTCACCACTCGCAGCCCAAGCTCTCTTCTCCGTCGCATTAACTACTAGCCTTCCCACTAGTAACCACCAATACTCGTGAACCGTGGCACCATCCCGCGATCCGATGTGTTCTAGAACTCCTAGGCTATCGAGCCAATTCATGATCAACTCAGCCTCGAACGGCTCGACGTATGGCTTGAGTAAAACTCTTGCCGTCTCTGGCATCAACGGGCCCTTGGTCGCGAGCGCTAGTGTCGTCATACTGAGATACGCTATCCAACGCTCTTCGTTGAGCTCTCCGAAGAAGTCAACCCAGATCGGGATCTGGTCGCGAGGTCCCTGCTGAGGGGGCTTTATGTGCATTACTTGTTGGAGAATCGGGAGATCGTCATCATACAGGTAGGTCTCTGTAGGCAACAATTTCACGTCGAAGTGATAGTAGCTTTTAGGAAACGTTCTACCATCGTAATTTCCAGGCTCGAAACCGAGAGGAATACTTGGAATAGCGACACCTTCCATACGGATACGCCCATGAGCGTGAAGGTTCATAACCGCCATGATCGTTCCGTCATCGCTAACGTAAGGCAGGACGTAACCTTTTCCTCTGCGGAATGTCTCATCCAGTGATACTTTGAATCTGGCCGCCTGTTCGAATTTCTCAACGCTGGTGGGCCTCTCGATATGCTTTGCGAAAATCCCATGTAGTCGCAACGACTGACCGAGGATCTTGCCCTTACTTCTGGCAACGACCCTTTCAGATGTAAGCTGATCGACTACTTTCTTGAGAAGTTTATTTGTTTCGCTTTCATTCCCGCCACTCAAATTTAGGAGCTTTGTGCGGATCGTTTCTGGCATTGTAGCACCCTTCACAGGAGTAACGCACAGGGAGCGCACCCACGACCTGGCACGATTCATAATCTCTTCTTCAGGCGTGATGCTCCTGTCTAGAGGAATCGAGAGAGGTTCGTTAGATGTCGCCTCCATTCGAGAATAGACGGATCCTAAACTGATGAACCACGTCTCTCGCCAATCTGGAGTCTCGTTGGCTACATCCTCAAATGAGTATGTTTCTTCTAGCTCCTGGCGAGTCCCAGGGAGTTCCACATTTTCGTGTGTCTCGAGTTTGGCCGCCCAGCCGATGAGCCATTTCCAATCGTAAGAATCAAGGTCATCATAGTCAATCGGAGCGATCTCTCCGGTCTCATATGCTTCTAAGAATGCCGACTGGAACTTTTTCGTCAAGGCATCAATGTATGTCTTCCGTGCCTTATTAATCTTGGGCCAGAACTTTTTCAAAGCCGAGTAAGAGAATTTAGGAAACGTTTTCAAGATCATCCCGAGATCAACCTTCTTGTCCACACCTCCTAACAGGGTCTTGAAAACAACGAACGCGGCTATGAGTTCGTTTTCAGTAGTGAGGCCAAATTTATCCTCGACGTGGTTGTGCCTGCTAGCGCGACCTCTATGTTGGATTGGAACCGGCCTGAGAGAACGTGTCTTGTAATGCGCCTCCACGGGAGGCAGGGGTAGCGTAGCCATTGTAGGCCTCCTCATGACGTTCTTTGCCTTCTCCTTGGTTGGCTCATCTGTTCGTGCTTTACCCTTGCCACGACTGGTCGGAACGGGGAAACCATAGTTTGCATCGTCGGGAGATGCATTCTTAACCTCGTCTGGAATGTTGTTCGCGGTGAACTGTGTCGAACTCGGCCATTCGAGGGTTAAGGGCTTCGTATCTGCCTTCGATGTTTTGGATGTGAGGCCTACAAATCTGTAATTCGGCGCTATTGATCCCTGTCCAAGAATATGATATCCTTCCTCTGACTGTTCCCATTTCTGGATAATGTCCACTTCTTGTATGAACTTTCCATATAAAGGGTCAGCCCAACCATCAGGCTGGGAAGATGCTTGAGTAGATTTGACGGTATTCTTAGATTTCAGTGGCAGGATCTCTCGTTGGAACCATCGAGCGTCTGGCATGGTTCCGACCAAAGTAAAACTCGATGAGTGCGACTCAAAAAAGCCAGAAGGCAACGAGGGCCAGCACCCCTTTTGTATGCTCCGAATCGCTTTGGGCGTCACATACTTTATACCGGCTTCACCCGCAGGGGGGGTAGAATAGTCCTCAGCAACATTGGCGTCTTGAATATCACTTGTTGTCAAGTAATCATCATCCTCCTCACTGTCAGATGCCAACTTCTCAGGAACAAACGATGTAGAAACCAATGGCTTGACAAATCGGTTTCTGAAACCCCTCTTCGATTTCTTCTTTGATGCAGCAGACGTCAATTCATCGTTGCTGCCGCCTTGAGATGTATTCTCGTTAAGGGCTTTAGAATTCCTGTTGGAAGGTTTCTGCCACTGGGCGGACACCTTGTTGCGAGTTTGTTGAAGAGATGACAGGACTTTATCGATTCCAGCCTGAAGTGGGGTGGGATCTTGAGGCGTAGCTGACCATGTCCCAGTTGCGAAGTCTTGGAGGCTGGCTGGCTTTGGATTCCAGCTCTCGCTAAGATCTTGCTTCTGGCTCCAAATGTATTTCGCAACGTTTCCAGTTTCCCAGAACTCACGGTTTTGTTTTGGCTTTCGATTCTTAGGGGGGCGTCGGGTTTTATTGGTAGTAGTAACATCAAGCCGGGGTTTCTTGGTGGGCACTGCATCCAACAGGTCATCTTCTTCCATGAACCGCTTCGAGCTGCTTGGCAGTAGAGGTGCCGCGTACTGTAAGACTTCAATATCTTCAGTCACGTTCACATTCCGAGCGGCTGCGCGAGAGTCAATCGGTTTTTGACCGTCTCTGTATTTAGATGCAAGTGCGTCGAAAAGTTCGTTCTCTTCCCGGGGAAGCGAGAATGTCTCTGGAATATATGGCTCTGGGAACATTTCTTTCATTTTCGTCTTAATATCAGCCACTTTAGGATCATCGGCTAGGTCGGCAAGCCCATTATCTCCTGGCTTCATGTTGGTAAGAACGCAACAGTCATGGATTTCATTTTTATCGTCGATAATGCCGAAGTGAAGCTGTATTAGCTCTCCCATTTTCTCCATTCTGTTTACCACGTTCTGGCAGACTTTCCAGTCAGGTGGCTCTATATCCTGATGCCGTTTGGCCCAAAAGGACGCCATAACCAAATACAAGGACCGCTGTCCGGGGAAGACGCCATCGTTTTTATCAAGCAGATGCTTAATTATGAGACCCGTGCGCTCCCTGCGAACCGAGCCGACAGTGGTTTTAGATTTGTAAAGTTTCTTGGGACTTGGCTGTGTGGTTTCTTTACTGGGTTGGCTGCTGGTTTCCCTCGATCCCTGGCCATTGTCTCTTGTATTTGCAATAACGGACGCTGGCGCTTGGCTAGCCAATCTTGGAGTGGCGCCCTGAGAAGTATTAAGAATATCGTGTGCGTCATGGCTCTGTGCAGGTGTAGCCTCAATGCTACGAGCCGGTGCTTCAGCAGCATTTCGTATCTCTGATACAGGAGAACCAATAGGTATCCCACTACCAGAGAGCTTCTTAGGCGTTGCCTGTGATGACTGTGGTGGTGCTTGACTTGACCGGCGCGAATCGGGATTTCTAAGAATGGATGAAGCAGCTTGACTATTTTCTCGCCGTCTTCTATGATCAATAATATCATAAGCCTCCACATCTTGTAAGACTATAGAGCGTCGAACAGGCTCGGGTTTAGAGACGTCGCTGCTGTCTAGGTTACCGGCAAGAGTTTCACTAAGTCGTACTCGTTTAGAAGGTAGAAGAGGACGACGAGCTCCACTGTCGGAATCATCCAGGGGCGGCGTTTGAGTCCGCTTTCTTCCTTTGTCTTCAAGCGCCTTGGAAGACTTGGCGGGAAGTACAGGCTTTGGCGTCGAAAGCTGTTTGAGGGGTTTGAGGACTTTAGGTTGTTCAGGAGGCGGAATATAAGAAGGATTGCAAGTAGTCCGAGATTTGTTGAGATGGTACTCCAATCCATTTGGACTCTTCCAGCTATTTCCACACTTGTCACACCGATAAACAGAGCCGCGGCCACGTTTTGCTGGCTTCGGTGCCGGCTGCACAACTGAAACCTCCGTTTGCGCGGGGGATCCGTCCAAAGCAAAACTTTGAGGTGGACTTTGAGTTGAGTCTGGAGTTGGCAAAGGTTCGGTTGGACCTGAAGGATCCTCAGTGGGAACCTCAGTGGGAACCGTGGACGGTCTGTTCCACATGTGTTCGAAGAAATTCGGATCTTTAAGTTGATCATACTTGAAAGTGAGTACAAGGGACCTTTTTCGTCGACCCTTCTTCCCAGGCGGATCAAGCCAGTTATCAGGTTCACGATGGATACCAGATGCTCTGGGGGGAGGAGGTGGAGGCAGGGGAACGATTGGTGCTTCCGGCTCGGTAGTCAGACGTTGTGAATTTTCGTTAGCAGCACCTT